AGAATGATTTGACATTTTGATACGGTCCCTCTATTTTTTAGTCAGCAGTGGCGGATCCAGAACTTTTCATAAAGGGGGGTGGGGGGTGGGGCTTCAGTCATGATTCAGTGATTCCCTATATAATCAATTAATTTTTTTACATCTGGTGATCCGTTTATTTTGGCAATCGCCATGGCAGTCAGCAGGGTTTAGAAACATCTGTTGTTCAACCTGCTAGTCAAATGCGTTTTGTTAAAATATACTTTTTCACTCATTTGGTCTTTTGGAAAATGTTGTTTGTGTTGTATTTAGACCCCTCTACCAAGAAATTTGTTTTGCATGCACACGTATAAAAATTGGGGTTTTTATCCAACGCGATCATAGGTTTGAACGTTGTTTTCAATTTAGACTTGTTTATATTTTTTCGTTTGGGCTTGTATTATATTTGCCTTTGGGTTTATATAATCCGTTCATCCTATTTCGACTCTTCAAAATTTAAGAGTCAACCCTAAATTGAGGTAAATTATATGGCCTTCCAAATACCGTTTCGATTCCTAAAATCACCGAAGAGACATTAATTGTCGAACTCCGGATATGGTGTACACATTTTTGCACCTTATGTTTGCAGTATACCATCTTTTCCGCAAGTTTTTGTTTTCTGTTTGGTATTAAATTAATAATTAAGATCCATTTTGTTACATCTGGTGATCCGTTTATTTTGGGAATCGCCATGGCAGTCAGCAGGGTTTAGGAACATCTGTTGTTCAACCTGCTAGTGAAATGCGTTTTGTTAAAATATACTTTTTCACTTTTTTGGTCTTTTGGAAAATGTTGTTTGTGATGTATTTAGACCCCTCTACCAAGAAATTTGTTTTGCATGCACACGTATAAAAATTGGGGTTTTTATCCAACGCAATCAAAGGTTTGAACGTTGTTTTCAATTTAGACTTGTTTATATTTTTTCGTTTGGGCTTGTATTATATTTGCCTTCGGGTTTATATAATCCGTTCATCCTATTTCGACTCTTCAAAATTTAAGAGTCAACCCTAAATTGAGGTAAATTATATGGCCTTCCAAATACCGTTTCGATTCCTAAAATCACTGAAGAGACATTAATTGTCCAAATCCGGATATGTTATAGACATTTTTGCACCTTATGTTTGCGGTATACCATCTTTTCCGCAAGTTTATTGTTTTCTGTTTGGTATTAAATTAATAATTAAGATCCATTTTGTTACATCTGGTGATCCGTTTATTTTGGGAATCGCCATGGCAGTCAGCAGGGTTTAGGAACATCTGTTGTTCAACCTGCTAATCAAATGCGTTTTGTTAAAATAAACTTTTTCACTTTTTTGGCCTTTTGGAAAATGTTGTTTGTGCTGTATTTAGACCCCTCTACCAAGAAATTTGGTTTGCATGCATACGTATAAAAATTGGGGTTTTTATCCAACCCAATCATAGGTTTTTAAACGTTGTTTTCAATTTAGACTTGTTTATATTTTTTCGTTTGGGCTTGTATTATATTTGCCTTCGGGTTTATATGATCCGTTCATCCTATTTTGACTCTTTCAAAATATAAGAGTCTATCCTAAATTGAGGTAAATTATATGGCCTTCCAAATACCGTTTCGATTCCTAACATCACTGAAGAGACATTTATTGTAGAAATCCGGATATGCTGTACAAATTTTTGTACCTCACGTTTGCGGTATACCATCTTTTCCGCAAGTTTATTGTTTTCTGTTTGGTATTAAATTAATAATAAGATCTGTTTTGTTACATCTTGTGATCCGTTTATTTGGCAATCGCCAATGGCAGTCAGCAGGGTTTAAGAACATCAGTTGTTCGACCTGCTAGTCAAATCCGTTTTGTTAAAATATACTTTTTCACTCATTTGGTCTTTTGGAAAATGTTGTTTGTGCTGTATTTAGACCCCTCTACCAAGAAATTTGGTTTGCATGCACACGTATAAAAATTGGGGTTTTTATCCAACGCGATCATAGGTTTGAACGTTGTTTTCAATTTAGACTTGTTTATATTTTTTCGTTTGGGCTTGTATTATATTTGCCTTCGGGTTTATATGATCCGTTCATCCTATTTTGACTCTTTCAAAATATAAGAGTCTATCCTAAATTGAGGTAAATTATATGGCCTTCCAAATACCGTTTCGATTCCTAACATCACTGAAGAGACATTTATTGTAGAAATCCGGATATGCTGTACAAATTTTTGTACCTCACGTTTGCGGTATACCATCTTTTCCGCAAGTTTATTGTTTTCTGTTTGGTATTAAATTAATAATAAGATCTGTTTTGTTACATCTTGTGATCCGTTTATTTGGCAATCGCCAATGGCAGTCAGCAGGGTTTAAGAACATCAGTTGTTCGACCTGCTAGTCAAATCCGTTTTGTTAAAATATACTTTTTCACTCATTTGGTCTTTTGGAAAATGTTGTTTGTGCTGTATTTAGACCCCTCTACCAAGAAATTTGGTTTGCATGCACACGTATAAAAATTGGGGTTTTTATCCAACGCGATCATAGGTTTGAACGTTGTTTTCAATTTAGACTTGTTTATATTTTTTCGTTTGGGCTTGTATTATATTTGCCTTCGGGTTTATATAATCCGTTCATCCTATTTCGACTCTTCAAAATTTAAGAGTCAACCCTAAATTGAGGTAAATTATATGGCCTTCCAAATACCGTTTCGATTCCTAAAATCACTGAAGAGACATCAATTGTCGAACTCCGGATATGGTGTACACATTTTTGCACCTTATGTTTGCGGTATACCATCTTTTCCGCAAGTTTTTGTTTTCTGTTTGGTATTAAATTAATAATAAAGATTAATTTTGTTACATCTGGTGATCCGTTTATTTTGGCAATCGCCATGGCATTCAGCAGGGTTTAGAAACATCTGTTGTTCAACCTGCCAGTCAAATGCGTTTTGTTAAAATATACTTTTTCACTTTTTTGGTCTTTTGGAAAATGTTCTTTGTGATGTATTTAGACCCCTCTACCAAGAAATTTGTTTTGCATGCACACGTATAAAAATTGGGGTTTTTATCCAACGCAATCATAGGTTTGAACGTTGTTTTCAATTAAGACTTGTTTTAATTTTTTTGTTTGGGCTTGTATTATATTTGCCTTCGGGTTTATATAATCCGTTCATCCTATTTCGACTCTTCAAAATTTAAGAGTCAACCCTAAATTGAGGTAAATTATATGGCCTTCCAAATACCGTTTCGATTCGTAAAATCACTGAAGAGACATTAATTGTCGAAATCCGGATATGTTATACACATTTTTGCACCTTATGTTTGCGGTATACCATCTTTTCCGCAAGTTTATTGTTTTCTGTTTGGTATTTAATTAATAATTAAGATCCATTTTGTTACATCTGGTGATCCGTTTATTTTGGGAATCGCCATGGCAGTCAGCAGGGTTTAGGAACATCTGTTGTTCAACCTACTAGTCAAATGCGTTTTGTTAAAATAAACTTTTTCACTTTTTTGGTCTTTTGGAAAATGTTGTTTGTGATGTATTTAGACCCCTCTACCAAGAAATTTGGTTTGCATGCACACGTATAAAAATTGGGGTTTTTATCCAACCCAATCATAGGTTTTTAAACGTTGTTTTCAATTTAGACTTGTTTATATTTTTTCGTTTGGGCTTGTATTATATTTGCCTTCGGGTTTATATGATCCGTTCATCCTATTTTGACTCTTTCAAAATATAAGAGTCTATCCTAAATTGAGGTAAATTATATGGCCTTCCAAATACCGTTTCGATTCCTAACATCACTGAAGAGACATTAATTGTCGAAATCCGGATATGCTGTACAAATTTTTGCACCTCATGTTTGCGGTATACCATCTTTTTCCGCAAGTTTATTGTTTTCTGTTTGGTAATAATTTAATAATAAGATCTGTTTTGTTACATCTTGTGATCCGTTTATTTGGCAATCGCCAATGGCAGTCAGCAGGGTTTAAGAACATCAGTTGTCCGACCTGCTAGTCAAATGCGTTTTGTTAAAATATACTTTTTCACTCATTTGGTCTTTTGGAAAATATTGTTTGTGCTGTATTTAGACCCCTCTACCAAGAAATTTGTTTTGCATGCACACGTATAAAAATTGCGGTTTTTATCCAACGCAATCATAGGTTTGAACGTTGTTTTCAATTTGGACTTGTTTATATATATATATATATACAACTCGTCTAAACATCAGCCCAACAATGTTAGATCTGTAAATTTGCTTTCGCAAATTGTTTGTTATTAAACTTTAAGTTGAATGATAAATCGATACTCCGCAATGTTTAACTTTATTTGTTTTTTTTTTCAAAATATTAATCATGATAATAGCAGACCCAGGACAATCCAGAGAAAACGTTTCCGTGGCAACAAAATAATATCTGATTAATATTTCATACAAAAAAGAAATAAGGATTTAAATCGGCACTAATTGTGTTCTCCGTCCCCGTTGTAATAAAGCCCATAGAGATTCTACAACGTACCAATATATACAATTACAGATAAAGCAGAAAGTTAGTGGTGCACAGCTCGTTACCATATGGACTTTTGACGATTTTTTTTTTAGTTTGGTTGAGGATTGTTTTAATATTTAAAACAATTTTAAATATGTGTAACTGCTTCTGATTTCTTACCTGGTAACTGAATAATCCAGCTATAGGGGAAGGCCACCAATTTGACTGCAGAGCAAACTGAGCTTTACATGCCATATATGCATTAAAATCGTCACCAAACATTTCCATAGTACACGTTGTGTTGGCGGTATGGCTGCCGGCAACGCCCAACCCAATACTGATCAATGTTAACAATACTGAGTAAATGTACATCTTTTTTTCATTTAACAATTTGGTTAAACAATTGTATTAGCCTAATCTTTCAATCTTTATTATCAAAAAATCACGTGCTGATTATCAAAATGTCCTTTATACAAGACTGTAAACAAATAAAACACTTTTATCAATTAGCACAAATCTATATGACATTATAATTTTATTTCACACATTTAATGTTGATACATATTTTAATTTTTACATAACCATAGTAATTCACTTTATCTCTTGGAACAAATACAATAGTTATAAACTTTTGATATATTTTCTAAGTACTAGATACTTTTTTTTTATTATTTTGTACAAAACCATGTCAACATTAAAAGTTTCAATACAATCTTTGTCAAAAGAATAATATGTTTTTGTGTTTGTGGAATAAGCATTGTTTATCTATTCCTATGGGAACCGACTGTTTTCCCTTTCTTGTTGCGTTCATTTTTTTTCCGTAAAAGGCAACAACCACCCATTACTTAACCGTTAACGTTCGGCTAATTTTTTTCCAGTAACCGATCAATTTTGTACTAGGATATTCCAATGGTAGTTAAATAAATGGCACCCTTCACTTCCGATTTAGGTCTATTTTATTTTCTGTTTAAAGAATTAATTTCAAATAAATCGTTCATCAAACAATCTCATTGTTTCAAAGAAATAATATTTAGTTTGCATGTAAAATAACTGGACGTTAACCAATCAAACATGTTAGCCAATTCTACCATACATACTTGCAATTGCTATTTGTTTGTAACATGTTTTCTAGGTATCATTATTTATTGGTTTTAGAGAATATATATTATTTGTAATGTTTTTAAAAGTTGATCCCTACATTTGTCCATACGATTAAATTTGTGTTACATTAAAACTAAAACTTATGAATAAGATGTGGTATAATTGCCAATGAAATAACTATCCCAAAAGACTAAATAACAAAGATGTGAAGAATTATGGGTCAACGTACGACCTTCAATGATGAGTAAAACTCATATCGCGAACATAGCTATGAAAGAGGACAAAATGTGAAAAAAAAAGAAAAAAGAAAAAAACCCCGATTGATTTATACTACAACAATAAACGAAACACTATTATGGCATACAGCAATCAACAACAACCATTGGATTTCAAGCTCCTGGGACAGACACATAAAGATGTCGGCGGGGTTAGTTATCATATTCAGGGGCGGATTCAGGATTTTAGAAAGGAATGAGGCATAATTGCAAAAAATACTATACTATTTTTGGACGATTTTATGTTAAAAAAAATATTTCGAGATAGAAACTAGCCAAGTCTGGGTCGGCAAACTGCGCGTTCCAATGCCTGAACCAAGTCCTAAAATAAGGCCGTCAGACGTCAGAGCAATCCGACTATTTAAATATATAAATGATCAGTCACGCCAGATCAATCCGACTATTTAAATATATAAATGATCAGTCACACCAGATCAATCCGACTATTTAAATATATAAATGATCAGTCACGCCAGATCGGTATATGCCTTATGGGTACGTTATCTCCGAGATTTCTATATAGACGGAGTGCTAAGCATTTTTGCACGTTCGTTGTTTACAGCTTTTAACAGCAAAACGACCAAAAAGAAAAACAAAATATTCCGTTAATATGTCTTTCATATGTTCGAATGTCATTTTTATTCTGTTATGTTTCGTTCGTGGCCTAAAATATGTTGGCGAGTCTTATCAGCCATCTAACAAACACTTACTAGCTAATAGTACTATATAACTCTTTTGAAGTGTTATGTACCTTTAAGTACATAGGCCTTAGTATTTAAATTTGAATGCCATACAAATTGTAAATTGCCTGGTTTAAAATTAAATTTTCCATTTTCTATTCTGCCAAGTAGCCAATGTGATATAAATGATACATGTTGTCTCTTTCTTTTCAGTTACAAAACTATGTCGTTTTACATAACGACACTTTTCATGCAAATCGGACCTTAAACGGTTTTGGCTTTTCTACTAATATCCTTTTGGTGTTGATGTTTTCATCTATTTTTGGTCTCATAAGTTCATGATAAACACGTTTTGTTGGAACTTAAATGAATGTCAAACGTTAGTATTCATCAAAACTTTATACTTATTCATAATAAAAAACTATGTACAAATTCCACTGACACATTTCTGGTTTGAACCACAACATGTATACGATTGAGAAGGAGTATATTTACAGCATGGTTGATCCGGAGGACAGGGTTTGTCATTGCAGGTCAATGGTTGAGGGGGAGGGTAGTACGGATTGAAGTCACAAAATTCCCCTTTACATGTTGTTCCTGGTTGTATGGCAGAAATAAACAAGTCTAAAGCTGCGACCTGCTGCATTGGCCAACCAAGTGTGAAGGGTCCATTCCAGTTTGGGGCAAACACAGGACCTGATTCATTATAATATGGAGGTCCATATTTGAATACAATATTACAGTTTTGAATCGGATGTTTATCACATATACTATACTGCACAATTCCTATCACGTTATGGTATAAATATCTCTGATATTCCTCTTTCTGTTTCCCATCATTCATTACGCCAATTAAATATCGTAAATTTCGGACGAATATCCCCTTGAATACTTTCTGGTCGTCATTACAGTGAGGTTCGCAATATTCAGTAAGAATTCCTGATGACCTGTTCGTAGAATTTCGGAGTTCAGCTTGTGCTATTTTGTTTGCAAGATCTAAATAAGTTTCGTTTTTGTATATTTTGTAGAACTCTACTAATCCTCCAATTACCGTTCCGCTCAAATAGGTAGGTCCAATAAAATCATTTCCGGTACAGTTAGACGTAGGACCATCATGTATTAGATATGTTGAATTGTCAACTATACCATTTCGTAGAAGATAATTCCATATTTCATGCATTTGATGTAGGTATTTAGTGTCGTTCGTAAAACGATAAAGTTTTCCTGCTGCCTGAAGACTTATTGTATTTGTTATTGTCACCTTTTGTCGATATCCATTATTCCACCACATTCCACCACTGCATGTTCCATTGGAGTCCCAGGCTGTCTTCCAAAGCCAGTCAAAGACATCCACACTATTAATAAGAAAATCATTCCACCCAAAAATTTCGTAAATTCTGGCAAAACTAAGCGCATACCATGCCATATCATCAAAGGATGGGATAGGCCCGTAAGCCTGCTTTAAAGAGAGTAAATTACGATTTGATGATTTTATTATGCCTCTATATCTGGTATTGTTTCCAACAAATGCCACAAAATTTGCATACGTTTCTAGAATAATTCCATTCTCCCAAAATGCACTAATACTATTCCATGCCTAAAAAATACAATCTAGATCAGCAATGAAGCAAAATAAAAAGAATATTCGAAGTTCATACGAAAGCAAACTATTTAATGTATTAATGATATAAATATTCAAACTTCTGGTGTAACATGAGAGTGGTAGAAGAGCCATTTTTAAAATATAAAAAAAGTTCCCAAGACAAAGGAATTATTTTAGCAACTCAGTCATTTAGGTGAAAGCAATATTTTAACGAACAATTTAAAATGATATGTATTTGTTTTTCGTAAATTGCTTTGTTACAAATTATGTCGTTGGTTTTATCGTTTGAATTGTTTAACATTTTTCATGTCTGTGTCTTTCATATCCGACTATAAGATAGCGTTTTTCTCATTGTTGAAGGCCGTACGGTTGCCTATAATTGCTTAGATCCACTTCATTTGAAATCTGGTGGATATTTGTCTCATTGGCAATCATACCATATCTCCTTATTTATATATTATTATAATCTCGAATTATTGATTTATTGACATATCAAATGTTTATGCCATTTTGGCCTTTAATTGGAATCAAATAGTTTTCTTCTTCTTTATTTGAAAACTGAATTTATTTAACATTATTATTTTACTTAAATATTATATAAGATCATATAACCATCTCTCCGTCTAGTCGTCGGTAATCAATGACGTCATAAAAGTGACAGGAAACTACACAATGTACAGAAGAGAAAAGGATTGATTTTATCTCACCAATATACTGTAGTCAATAAATTACTGCGTTCTCTTATTACTGTGTATAGAGCTAATCTATATCAATATACCTGGAAACTGAGTAAACCTGCTATAGGTGACGGCCACCAGTTAGACTGCAGAGCAAACTGCGTTTTACATGCCATATATGCACTAAAATCTCCATCAAACATTTCCATGCTGCATGTACTTTTGGCACTGTCACCTTTCGCCATTATTATTAGACAGAACACTGGGACACACAGACATACAGTTAATCTTAATGCCAACCTCATTAATACTATTAAAATCCTGCTGTAATAAAACAAAAAGAAATGTTTTGATCACGTTATTACTGAGCAACTAAACACACTCAATCTATAATCGAAACAGACAATCTAAATGCCATTTGATATTATCATGACTCTTATATAATGAATTGACACCAAATGACATTAAAGTTGTATATAGATGCGAAACTGTTCCATGTCATACGAATTGAAAAAAAAAAATACGTTGATTGAAGTCCGTGATGCGAAAAACCCACGGCTTCCAGTCTTGCCAAACGCAATCTTACGTTAAAGACAAATACGGCATTACTCCAGCTAATAACGGATCCTATCAATATCACATTCATATGTAAAAAAAAGTCGCTTGATAAAAAGATTAGAAATTGATGGTACTCTTGGAATCCATACATGAGGGTCGTAATGGGGGTACCTTCATGATGAATAACGGTAAAAATTCTTGCCAAATGACGTTAACGGTAAATTTTGGTGCATGACGATAAAATGTACACTTTCTTTTAGACGATAAAAAAATCGACTGATTTTGACGAATCACGTTAAATTTTTTCCAAAAATAACAGTAACGATAATTATTTGAGACCTCTGACGATTCACGTTAATTTTTTTCCAAAAATAACAGTAACGATAATTATTTGAGATCTCTGACGAATCACGTTAATTTTTTCCCAAAAATAACAGTAACGATAATTATTTGAGACCTCTGACGAATCACGTTAAATTTTTTTCCAAAAATAACAGTAACGATAATTATTTGAGACCTCTGACGAATAACGATAAGGATATTTTGACGAATCACGGTAAAATTTTAACCAATTTGATGCTAACGGTAGCCGAAAATGACCGTGCCGTTTGGCGCCTGACGGTAAAGGGCATTTCTACTCTCATACATTTCTCTATCAGTCCTTGAATGGTGTAAACTTCCCACTTCCACCATACATCATAACACGTTTTATTTTGGAAGTTTAAACACCATTAAATCACTGTAACAAATATAACTAAGACGGATATACCTGTAAAAACAATGGGAAATACACAAAAAAGGAAGTGTTGTATTATTTTACGACACAAAATAACCACGTATTTAACAAAACCTTTGAAATTTCAATCAATGATTAAAATAATTACGTGCAGAAATCTCATTACAAACAATCTTATATTATCACCTTTTCAAAGCTCTTAACATCTATCATAACAGCTTTTGATGATCGAAGGGCACGTAGAATACAGTGAAAAGATGTACTTCAATAAAGGTTTTATATGTTGATTATAGCTTGTCTGTTTCGATTATGTTTAGTTCCTCAAATTGTTTTACACTTGTCATGCCGCGGCCTTTTATAGCTTGCTATGCAGCATGGGTTCTACGCATTGTTTGGGCTATACGGTGACCTATGGTTGCTAACTGTTTCGTCATTAGGTCTACGGTGAAAATTTATCTCATTGGCAATCATATCACATCTTATTTTGAAAAGATTTAATCGAGAAAACACCATAGCCACACGAAAAAAGACACTTATAAAACAGGTCCATCGAAACTTATTTACACGACACCTCTCAACACCAGTGTTGCTTATGTGAACTCAGGTGCAGTGGAAAGGTCGGCACTTCAAAATACCATCAGTTTGAATTAGTATTGTAACTACGTGTTCCTAGACTTCATAGGTCACTCCACCAACACAAACTAGTATCTTTTGTTTTTAAATAATATTGGGAAATCACATCTACATATCTTTTTTTGGGAAAATAAAAAATAAACTAGTCATTTATCAGGTTATCACACAAATGCAGGCAATAAGTAAGCAGAAAAATATATTCAAGAAAGCTAATGATTCTTTCAAAGATTAAATATTATCGTTGAAATATGTGCACATATTTTCAGGTTTGACGATTAAGTGCCATCTAAATGAGCATCGATTGTACATCGATCCTTACTGGCGTATTCATAAACTAAAAAGAAGTTATTCAAAGTTTAGTGATGTACGATCAAACGTTCAAAGACGAAGCAGACCTTCAAAACGCAGCCTTTTGGTAACCGGGGATTTGTAGACATCCTGAAATGACAATTAACTTATTATTCTAGCAGATGAAGCTCTCGCAATTTCGTTTTACGGAAACATCACTATTTCGAATGATACGTTTTAGAACTAAAAACTAACGACAATGTAATCATCAATACTTTACGTCTACATCCCACACTCATCTATAGCTTTCTTATGAGCAGTAATTCTCTATAAAGAAAACCATGATAATTTATGCCCTGGATTTTCAAATCAACTGGGAGATATTTATTTCATATGTATGTGCTGATTTTATGTTGCTACATATGAATGGAAAGTTCACATCGAAATATTGAAATCATCTCAAATTTCATATAGTTTAATTCATGTATTTCAAGATATCTATAGCAGGCCTTACTGTATCTGTGACACCCTTTATTTCTATTTCAATGATAGGGCTAAGGCTATAAGTGCTTCTGAAGCAATGGGACATGCCGGCATCCATCCTTGTGTTTTCAAGAAATTGTAATCAGATCTAAAGTTATGCGATATACTTGCAAATCACTAACTATAGAACGATCACTAACTTATACATGTATACATAATATGATCTCATGCAACATTTCGAAGACCAAACAAAAACATCATGCCTTCGGAAAAGACCATAGCGGGAAGACGCAATTAGTGTCATAGACGACATGCACAAGGAACACCAAATTTATTCAAATCTACAGACTTCATACTAAAACAGATTATTGAAATCACCAACAGACTCAGTCAGACAGCACACGTAGTAATGTCTTTACGGGAAGTATCACCATTCTAAATCAAAATCTAACGTGAACATGTCATTGTGTACTATTCTATCTATTCTCAAGCTATATATAGTCAGAATCCTAGGCTACGTCTATGAACCCGCATTTCTAGTGCAGTTAGACAAGAGCAGTGCATTCGTCGACTAGATTCTAAAGCAAGAAGCTCTGCCAGTGTGACGCTTAACATTGGTATATTTGGGTACATTTGAACCCATATTAAATCTTTGGCATGGAATATTTATTTCGGTGAAATACTTGCACAAAATGTTGTAGAAGTAGCTTATCAATAACATTATGAATTCAGGTCGGTGCGGCAAAAAAACCTACTATCGGACTTTGGCATGAAACGGGGACGGATTTGGGTCAACACCAAATTACATGGTTTACGGGGAACTAGGTCGCCATCCGGTCGACATAGATATAATACTAATAGCTAGTTCGAGCAGTCTTATTTTGGGCAAATTATATATCCGGTAAACAAGCAAAGTTGTCCCTTATATTTATATATCAACTTCCTCGCCATATGAACGCTCACCATAACGCAGATTAAATGGATTATGTTTGTTCAAAAAATATTTCAAAATTGTGGTTTCTCATACATATGGGAAACGCAAATTTTCATTAATAAAGATTGATTTACTGTTATAAAGCAAAGAGTGTTAGACCAGTTTCTTCAGAATTGGAATTCGCTAATCCAAAATTCGTCAAAAGGTATTAACTACAAAATTTTGATAAAAACTGGGATTTGAGGAATATTTTAACATTTTTGACTTTGAAGATGCTATTGTCTCTGTCGATTTCGAACGACTAATAAAAAAAATTGCCGATTGAAACAGGAAGGTGGCAAAACGTATCAAGAGAAAACCGTTTTTGCCTCCAATGTAACAATCGACAAATTGGAGACGAATATCATTATATATTCGAATGTACTTAATAAATCATTATTAGATTGAACCAGACTCATGACAAGCTAGCGAACAATTAGCCAGCGAACAATGAGGTGTATCAAGCTAGCGAACAATAAGAAATACGCGCCAAACTGATCACGCCTAAAAACCGAAGACTTGTATTAACATGAAACGTCCTTTGAAATCTGATGACAATCATTTCCAGTAGGAAGACGAAATGCTAGACATTTTCACAAAGACAAAATTGATTTTTTTATTTATATATAAATTTATATATAAAATTTTCAAAATTAATTTTAACTACTCTTCTCCCTTTTGATTACCCTTGATTACAAACGGCTTGTCTTTATAATAATAAAAAAATAAATAAAAAAGACCATACTTATCTAGTGTAAAAATGACATTAAATCCACATGCTGACACATACCGTTTTTGGAACGTCAAGTACAGAATTTTGCATCCAGAATTATAAGTTGAAGTAAAAGCTAATAAATATCCACAGTTTTCGTTTTGGTACGATTGCAAATTTATTAATTACATTTCAATAGGAAATGTGTCTTATGTGACAGTGACACACAAGAAGCACGAATTATGAATTGATATGAAGATTTCAGCTAATTTAACCTACAAAATATTCAAATCCTAGATTATTACAGCTTTTCAAAAAGTCAAGTCCCTTGCACTGATTCGAATGAATAAAAAAGGGTGGAATCACAACAATACGAACTATTTAAGTTTAACATTAGAACGATAATCGGGGAACGGTTCAAAGGTGGGGTATAGTGACCCTACCCCCTCCCTACTTTAATTCATAAAAAAAGTCCCTACGGCAAAGCTTTTTTCCACTCTATGTACAAATGATAGGCAATGGTCTAAGGTTGCCTGGACCCAAAGACCCAGGTAGGTAAAATTACGGAACGGCTACAACTGAGGTCCAAAGTTGGGGTATGGTGACCCTACCCCCTCCCTACTTTAATTCATAAAAAAAGTCCCTACGGCAAAGCTTTTGTCCACACTAGGTACAAATGATAGGCAATGGCCTAGGGTTGCCTGGACCCAAAGACCCAGGTGGGTAAAGTTACGGATCGTCTACAACTGAGGTCCAAAGTGGGGGTATGGTGACCTTACCCCCTCCACACTTTAATTCATAAAAAAAGTCCCTACGGCAAAGCTTTTGTCCACACTAGGTACAAATGATAAGCAATTGTCATCTCAAATCAGAGAACACTAAAAAGAGAAAGGACTAGCTAAAAGGAATTATAGATGCCCGGCTTTAAAAAAAA